TTAGTTGCAGAAGCTATACTTACTAGAAAAATTAATCAAAACTCTTTTCAAATAGTATTAATAGTAATTAGAGTGACAAATTAAAGTAGCAAATAATCTTATCATAATTATCAAATTTATATATATAAATCTATTATTAATAATATCAGGCTTAGTAGTAAAATATTTTTGCATGAGATTTTAGATTAATTAGAAATAACTTACTTACCAAATCAAGAAAAAGTATTATTTATAGATTTTAATTATTTATGATCACATTTTCATAATATATATTAGATTAGTGATGAGTTTTTATATTTAGATGATCTTTCAGATATATAAAAAATTTTATTTATATCAAATAAGAAGAAGAAGAAGAATAATAATAATAATTAATAATTAAATAAAATTTATTACTAGAATATAATTATCAATCAGTAATTAGATTTTATATAGTGAAAAATTTTTATTTAATACAAAAATTTGAAAATAATTTACAAAAAAAATAGAATATGTAATTTTACTTATATTACTTAATAATATAATATCTATATTAGAAAAAATAATTTTACTTTATATATAATAATTTAAAAACCAATTAAATCTTGATATATATTTTTGCAGTAAGTTATATATTTATTAATTTAAAATATGTTAGTAAAAATATTTAAAAAAATCTAATAATATTTTTATAATTATTTTTATAATATTATTTATATATTTAAAAACTTTTTATATTTTATATTGCTAATAAAAAAAATATATTCATATTGATATTTTTTTGAGTAATATATTATACAATATTTTAATACTTGTATATTTAGTATTGGACTTAGAAAAAAAAATAGTTAAAATAATATATTAATAAAAGAAAAAATATAATATGTATAAGTAAAAGATTTGATTCAATATTTACTTGATAATCACAATATATATTGAAATAATATTTATTAGATAAAAGATAATTCAGAATTATAATTACAAAATCTGATACTAAAAAATTATGAAATATTCATAAAAATTATTGATTCTAATTTTTTTTCTTTGATTTTCTTTTTTATCAATTTTTAAATTTCTATTTTATTAAGTGCTATTATATCAAATTTAATAGATTTATCAAGTTTTTCTTGTAGTATTTTGATTATTTTGTTTTAGGAGTAAATTATTTATTGATCTTTCGTTTTTTTATATATTAAAGCCTATGCTATTTTGAGAGATAATATTTTTTCATCCGGTTCAATCTGAATTCCACAAAGAATATTATTACTGATATTTTTATATAAAAATGTATCAATTTTTTCTTGTTTTCATTTTAAATTATGATATAATATTTCTTCTTTTTTTTGTATATTAATTTATTGTAAACTTTCTGTTATTTTATTGAGTTTTATAAATAATAATAATATTTATTTTTTTTGATATACTAATACAGTATAAAAAAGATCTATATAGACTATTGTTATGTTACGTACTTGTATGATATTAGATGAAATGTGATATGTGAATTCTATTTTTATTATATATTCAAGATAAATATAACTATTTTTTATTGGTCAATAAGAACAGGTAATACAAAAAAATTTAGTTTACCATTAACGATCTGTTAATCCGAATTTACATAATATGCGGATTATTAATCGGGATTAAATTATAATCCACTAACTGACTTTAAAATTTCAATGCAAAATCTGCTTCCTCCAACAAAGGCACGACTCAAAAAGAATGGTAAATATATTTCATAAAGCAATTAAAGTATTTTCAGGTTATTGGGCATAATTATAAATAATTGATTGATATTAACAGGTTAACTTGACACTATACACAACTACCGCTGTCATATTACTTGACGGCGATGGTAATCGGATATTATCGAAATATTATGGTAGTACTGGGCGAAATGCGTACCCCTCAGCTAAAGAACAAAAAGCTTTTGAAAAAGGATTATTTGAGAAAACAAGAAGAGCTAATGGTTCGTTAATAAATGTCAATAATACTTTTCCGATTAATTGAATAATTCTGGTACACTTTATTTTCTAAATCAATCAGGCGAAATAATACTCTACGACAACCACGTAATTCTCTACCGCAACAACATTGACGTATTCTTTTATGTCGTGGGTTCAGCAGAAGAAAATGAGTTAATACTAAGTAGTATTCTGAACGCGTTTTACGAAGCCGTGTCGAGCATACTCCGACAACAGGTGGAAAAACGTGCGATTCTCGATAATCTTGATCTCGTGGTGCTCGCACTCGACGAAACGATCGATGATGGAATAGCACTCGAGACAGATGCTAGTGTTATTGTGTCAAGGGTTTCGCGACCACGTACTGATACTACTGATATCCCTATTACTGAACAGACTTTAATTCAGGCCTATCAGACTGCTAAAGAACGTTTTGCTGAGAGAGTATTTAAAGGGGTGTAGATAATGACACAGTGTCGTTTTTTGCTTTTTCATGTGTATTATTATAAAGGGAAAGTTTCGGATCCTCGGAATTTTGCGAATTATAGACTTATATTTACATAATGCGTGGATTTTAAATTATTTAATCATTAATATTCTACAATATCTCCTCTACTTTTGAGATTGCCACAAGCTGTTCATGTCCAAAGTAATATACAATAGATTTCCAGTCCATAAAAGCGAGCAAACTGCATTTCTATCAGATTTACTTGATCCATCCATTTGATTTATCACCATATACCTTTCTATGTGAGATTCAAATAAATGTGAGTTTCCAAAGCATCCCAGAAAGTTTGATGTGCTTCGGCATCTTTATGCCTAAAGTCTCGCGAAATCTACAGAAATTATTTATTCCATACGTAATATTTTTAATTATGCTGCACAACAGATATATAGGCAAAAGGATTCTTACATTTATTACTTGCACTGATTTCCCCCATCTCAATACGTTATCGATAGTCGGTTGATGAGAATATTTGAAGTGGAAGGCTTTCACTTTTATATAAATTAATGTTTAAGTTAAAATTCAATGGATGTATATAAATTCAGTAAAAATCACTTACCTTTTTTGAATATTTCCTCAGTGCTTTGCCATTTCCAATGCTTGAATTGCCAATCGTTACCATCGACGACAACACCTACCACTCGATCCCTGAAATTATTTCATTCGCGAAATTGAGTTAAAAGTTGACTTTCAAGATACTCGAAAACTGTAAATTTAATTGTACAAACCAGTCCTCAGGCTTAAGGGTATCTGCCAAATCCGCGATTTCATATTTTTTTTCTTTGTAGGTGAATTCGACCAGTGTAGGCTTAGATGCTGTGTGTAGACTACGTTTTTGCTCATTTTCAATAAATCTAATAATAGGAAGTAACAAATAAATAAAATAATCTGTAATGTTCTTAAGTGGATAAATACTACATACACCGAATCCTGGAAGAAATCTTTTGCATTGTATATGCCAATCATTGCTCTTGGAGACGGTGATACCATGATAATGGGTTTCTTAGGTTCTAAACAATGGAATATGGGAATTTAATAAATTTCATCAAGACAACGTAAACTAGTCAGTTATTCGATACAAACCTTTTTCGTTGTTTCTTGAGGTGCTTGATGGTTTGGATGATGACGAACGATAATGCGTATTTGAAGCTGCAAGATTAATTAAGATCCGAAAAATATCAATACGTTAATTTATATAACTACTTGAGAAAGTTCATTCATTATGATCGTTAAGCGAAACCTCGTATTTGATTAGGCTGTAAAGGTCTTGGTTTATTTATCAGATCATGAGCTAATTCCAAATATTTTGATAATGACTAAAAAAAAAACACAAAAAATAGTAATTATTAATATATGATTTCAAGTGAGTAATTGAAACATACAGAAAGTTACGTTTTTCTTTGTGAGTGATATATGATCATGTTCTACTATCGGACGTTCACGTTTTGTCATATTTTCGTCAAGCCATTGCTTATCGGGCATATATTCATCCGTCGAGCAACGATGCCTCTTCGCAAGGTAAGTAACTCTCGCCAATTCACTTTCACTGTGCAAGAATGCATTTGTTGAATCACGTTTTTTACCTGAGAGAATCATTTATTATGAATCAGCGACAGTAATGTGGAATGAAAATATGGGGAGATAAAATTCATAAACCCAACCTTGGCGCCTATTATCATCTTGCGTCGAGGAATGCCCTCTTGCGCTAAACTTTGAATTTGTTCTTGATTTTCCCATTTTGGGAGATTCACTGGTATTGCTGGTGTTATTGTGTGTTTTTGTAGTGTCTACATGATTTGATGAAGCATTGTCAAGTGTTTCTGTATTGAATTCGTCAGTTTGTGGTATTTCAACGGGTGAAAGAGTCGGACGATGAGTTTCTGTTTCATAATCTAATGGTGACCCAGGATATTTGGAAGGATTGAAGGATAACGAATCCACGTCATTCCGTTCTATTGCAACTGAATCATCGCCTTTAGAAAGATCTGTCAGATCAAAATTGTTACTACCACTATTAATCTGATTTTCATTCTCTTTTATTATGTGGTCATTATTTTGGTTATTTCGTGGAGCATCAAACGATTCAGATTCTTCCATGGGACTAGCCTGGTCATCGTAAGAGTATTTGTCGTTTAAAGGATCATCATCAGAGGAATCAACTTCAACAGTTGTAGTAGCAGCAACGGGCGGAGGAGGAGGAAAATCCGGAGGAGCGCTCGCAAGATGCTTCTCAAGTTCTTTCAGCCATTTCTTTCGATCCATAAAATTCATTGGAACCTGAAACTTTGCATTTTCAATAGCGTCTGTGTGGTACTCATCATAATTTAGATCTTTGGTTTTCATAGCGTGGTAAAGAACGCCTAACGAGTATGGCTCATCTGAACTTTCAAAAGTTGTTGGCGTTTCTTTGTCTAAAATGTGTGTTCCAAATTGGAGATATACAGCCTGTGAAAGATCTTTGTAATCACTAGAAATATGGTCTTTTTCGTAGTCCAAGTGAAATACTGCTTCTTTGTTTCGGTAGTAGTCGTGTAGAAGTGATATTGGGTCCGGTGTAGACATTGTGAAAATTATTGTCTTTCGTTGTTTTTAAGATTAGAAGAAACAGAGAATTATGTTGTCAAAAGATATTCTTGGTTTCAAATAATTAATAAATCATAAATTTCATGATATGGGATCGAATAATGCAGATCAAATTTTGTGAAGTAATTTATTTTTTTGTCATTACACGCGTTTATGAGGAAGATGCTATGAATGATCCCAATTCATGTGATCACTGTTCCGCATCTCTTCGAAGAGAGACACGCTTTAAAACTGACCTCTTCGTTAACGAGGGACTATTCTTTTTAATATGGTCATTTCCATAGATGAGATCATAATGATTGTGATAAGGAAGAGAAAGAGGACGTGGAATGACTTTGAATGATTCATATTTCATATATATATATATATATATATATTATCTGTCTGAGTAGAATTAGAAAAGTTTAAAAAGTCAAAGATGAAATAGAAAGTGTTTACATGAAAACTCTTTATGTAGAGGGTAAACCGTACAGAGGATTCCTTTGTCTTTTTTCGAGGAGAAATTGGAGAATCACCAACTTATTTTGTCGTAGTTATTCTTGTTGATATTAATATGTTTCGTGAGAAGTTAGTACTATACTCTCATACATGAATAATTCTTCGAGATGTATAAAATGAATAGTAAAACTATCTAGATAACTTTTGTTTTTTACTTGAGACAAGTGATAAAGGAAGGAAAAACTAAAAATCAGCATTTTTTAGAAATATTATAGATCAGCATATAGTGTAACAGAAATTTTTGAAGTCTAACATATGGATTACTCGCGTGAAAACTCTCGTGGAAATCGTCGAAACGATGGTAAAATAATAATAACTTCTTGTGTTTTAACATAATTCCCCTTTAACTCAATGAATTACGCTCCAAGGGGAACGAAAGAAATATAGAGGCAAGAAACTTTCAATGTCAGTTTGCACACTTTTAAGAGTTTTGTCACTTTCTCTAATTTTGTTGAAATCCCGCGTTTAGAAGAAGACAGACGTCGCGACAATCGACGTCCACGAGAGCGTGGAAGAGAACATGAACAGCAAGATCTTGATCAGACGCCAGAAAGTCACTTGTCAAGCCTAATTGTGATGCTTGGAGATAATGTTTGTTCATTTTTGTACCATTTTCCTATGTTTTTATAGAATTACGGTTTATAGTAATTGAACTGGTAATGCCAAGGTTTTTCCACAGTTTGTTTTTTGGAAATTATAAGATTGATTTTTTTGCTGAAATTCAAAGTTTCCATTTTGCATTTCATTAAATTCGGTCTCGTGGTCCGATTTATCTTCTATAAAAAGGCAAAGACCAGTTTCAATTACTATCATCCGATTTCTATAGGTTCGAATATATTCAATTAATAGCATACATATATAATTCGAATTCGACTTCCAAGACTCAACCAACAGATCTCTACAATAATCTAGAAGAATTATCAAAAATTTTACAAGCAGACTTTGGCAAATTTTCTCATGTGATACTAAAAACAATAAAATCATGGCGAGTATAAGTTAAATTGCTTATATATTTTTTGTTACTTTATATTAATTCTTCAATTTGTACGTTACTTCGCACGATAATAAATTATAGCGTTAGAGAATTGCCTATGAGTTCATCTATTTACGCTACATTAGTTGGCCTTATCAACGTGGGGAAGTCTGACATAGCTAAGGCCATAGTCACAGAAACTTCTGAAATATTACAGCAAAATCTGAACGTGGGTGATTGGCGAGAGGTTAAATTAACTGTAAGATTCCATAAGATACTTTATCGTTTATCGTGACACATATACATAATCAACTGATTTTAAAAAAAAATTTATCAAGCTGAAATTTTTTGCAGAGTTGACAAATGCTAATGTGATTCAGCCGGAAACTTTACTTAAAATCTATGGGAATTTATTGAGTGTGCTAGATGAGCCGGTAATTAAAAAGGTAAATTTAAACAATCAGTATTATACTACTATCCATTATTATTTACAATATTTATTGCTATTCATTTAGCGCCGTGCGGATACTTTTATAAAAATCGTTTTATCCACTTTACCATACGTAAGTATCTCTTAATTTTTATTACCATGCTTTTCTAATGGCGTTCTAATCAATTTTTTTTGTGACAGATTGGCAAACGGTTAAAAGACCGCGAGCCTACAAAATTTGAACAGATGTTAAACAAAATTCAAAGTTACTTTAACGCCAGAACACAGCAAAGTCAATTTGGTGGTCATAACTACTCTGACACTATCTTATCTGCTC